ATTAGGGGGAAAAAATATACAGTATATGCACAGGGCTTTACATTAACACCCGCCAAATGTGGGTAGATTTCAGCTCTGGCGGGGTAGACAAGTGATGTCAAACTCAATTCCTAAAGGGCCGGAGCCCTGCACAGTTTAGTTCCAACCCTGATTAAACACACCTGATCAAACTAATTGAGTCCTTTAGGCTTGTTTGAAACCTACAGGTAAGTGTGTTGGAGCAGGGTTGGAACTAAACTGTGCAGGGCTGCAGCCCTCCAGGAATTGAGTTTGACATCCCTGGGTTAGACGGACACCTCCACTAGCCACTTTGGCTGGTTGGAACTAATTTTCAAATTGTAGTTTTCTCAAAAGCAGGATTCGACAATAAGCATGGAACAGAATTTGTGCGAATGTGATCTTAAATTCGAGAAGCAGCACGACTGAAAAAAATAACTGTTCGTGCAAGCAAAACAGCAAAAAAAGAAGGTAAATACCAAACGAGAGGATAATCACACAGGTGATGTGATGCGCACGACTGTTAAAAAGCGTGCGCACTCCCATTTACTTGCGCAAAGCAACCGTGCCTAGAAGAAGCACAACTGGTGCGATCGGTTCCCTTTGAAATAGACTGCACAAAGAGCGATGATCGTGCACCCACAGTCCTGCTGCTTTCAAGAGCTCAAGATTTTAAAAATACACCTATTCTTTTGTAAGCAGCAGCAGTCACTGCTGTAATTTTAATTATTTTTTGAACAGATTATTAACAGGCCTATATTAACCGTGTGCATGTGATCATCCTTTCATTATTACACACGGTGTGTTTCACCTGCTTTCTTTTGCTTAGTTATTTTGGTTAATATGGTTTAATTATATTTGTTTACAACAACATTGCTTTAATGGGAGATTAACTCCCCATTTTTGTGTAGCTAACTGGTGATCTGGGACTTTCAGCCAGGACAGATTACTGTGCATATTTTAAATAGATTACAATACTTCTTTTTTTTTTTTTTTTAATAAAATGTTTTTTTTTTTTTTAAGAAAAGTTTTGTTGAATTAAAAAGTGCACCTACAAAGCTATATTTTCCTTGTTTTGACATAAAAAAATTGTGGCTAAGAAATACTTATTTGGTCTGGTTGTTAAATCCTTAATTTTGAGTCCTGAAAAGTTATGTGAAATAAAAACTGATTGCATTGCGACAACTCATTTACTCATGCACACTGTGCAAGCTAATACACAATACATATAAGAAGTTAAACTAATGAGAAGGCATGTAGACATAACACAACACCTAAATCAAGTCAATTTAGCATGTCAAAGTCAAATTTAAGCATATAAAATATATTTTCCCAACAAGAAAAGTGTGGCTAGTGAAAATGGCGAGTGGCTAGTAATGTTGGAAATCTTCTAGCCACAGTGGCTGGTAATCAAAAAAGTTAATGTCAAGCTCTGAACTGTATATACATACACACAAACATACATATATATACTCAACATTCACTTTATTTGGGGCACAGTAGAGTTTGAGCTTGCGAAATTCTGTTGTGCGGCACTGCGAAAAGGGGCAGGATTAAACAAGATGATTAGACATTAAAAAAGCAAGCGATTGCTCCATGTTTTAAATTTCTGTGATGTTTTGATCTTTGATTGGTCTCACACAATCATGTGATGGGATTTCGCAGGTCAGAGTTCACAAATTTTGAACTTTCCATCACAGTGAACTGCGAAACTTGCCGCACGACCTTGCATTACCAGTTTGATGCATTTGCGTGCATATGAATGGAAGTCTATGGGGAGAAAAGTCCAGTGTGACCGCAGCTTTAGGCACTCGTCTTAAGACTAAGGTGAAAGTGCTTTCTGTGTGGTGGCCCCACGGCTCTAGAACTCTCTCCCGCTAGCACTGAGAACTCTGGGATCAGTTTATCTTTTTAAAAAGCATTTAAAGACGCACCTTTTTGGTCAAGATTTTAATTAACAGTATAAGTGTTTCTGTATTTGGATTTTTAATTCATTTTAATATGTTTTAAAGTGTCTTCTTTTATTGTCATGTGTTCTTTTAGTTGTTTTCTCTTATTGTAAAGCACTTTGTGACTCAATGTCTGGGAAATGTGCTATATAAACCTTTACTTAGACATGGTCAAGATGATCTGCTGCAGTTCAAACCGAGCATCAGAATGGGGAAGAAAGGGGATTAAAGTCACTTCGGCCGTGGCATGGTTGTTGGTGGCAGACGGGCTGATCTGGGTTAATCCAGAAACTGCTGCTCTACTGAGATTTTAACGTACAACCATCTCTAGCAACCCAAACACCTCACCATTGTGACATTCTCATTGTACTCAAGCATTTCAAACAACTCAGGAGTGTTCAGCACATGTGAAAATTACCCTTAATGTGATTTGCAACAAAATTTTTCACCAAAAAAGTCTTGTTGTTTGTGAAAAGCAAATGAGTTAGGCCCATAAGCGTTCCTTGAAGCTGAAATAATAAAACGGCAGTCTGGAGTCCAGATCTAAACCTGATTGAAAATCTCTTGAAAACATTTTCTTGCTGTAGAACTGGCTTTTAAACATGTATTTATATTTTGTAAAACTCTGTAGCATGGTAAATCCACAATTACAATTTCTTTTCATTTTAGTAATGGAGAAAACAAAACAAGCGTTTACAAATGATTCCCTAATTTTGATCTTCACTCTGTTGTTTTTGCATAACCTACAGTATATTGATACACCGCTGCTATCGTGATGAAAAAAATAAATAAAACTACTAAACAAAGAACCATTGTCACAATTTCTTCTTTGTTTTTTATTCCACTTTGAAGCATTAATACAAAGCCTTTTTATCATTTTCAGTAAAGTCTTCTGACATGAAGCCTCTTAACTTCAAATGCACCATCAACATTTACAGTTTCATAAGTGTGAAGTCAGTTTACTCTCCAAACCATGGTAAAATAGCTCTTGTAAGTGTACTTGGGTAAGGCAGCATGGTAAAGGCAAGGAAACATGATAAAGAAAAAGCTAACAGTGAGCATGATCGCCTACATTTTTCTCTCATGAAAGTTAAGGATAATGTGTATATGCTGGATGTTTTTTTATCCTTGAAGAAGGGAGCATCAAGCAGTAAATATGAGCAAGCTGTAACAATAATGTATCAAAAATAAAAAATTAAAGTGACAGGCTGATAATAAGCCCCAATGGGGTTCATTTAAATTGTTAAATCACAATATCAATATAGTTCTTTTGCTGAAAATGATTTTGAGAATTTATAAAATATGAGATGAGGGAAAAAATGTAAGCAATGATGTCTGCTCTTAGCTAAGATTAACATCCAAGTGGCACATTTCCCCTCACTTTTGGTACCTTATCTAGGGTAAAAGAAAATACAAAACTATCCTTGTCAAGGCCAGGGAAAATACAAACAAATCCATAACAATGTTTTCATAGCAGAATATCACTAAAGCACATAATCTGACCTTTTCCATGTCGAAGAAAAATACAAACAAACTGATTTCAGCATTCAAATGACCTCCAACAAATGGCCTCTTTTACATACGCACTAATTACATTTACACATAGCTGAGAAGTGCTCTACTATATAATATATTCAGGTCCAGTCATATTAATGCCCTAAAATTATGAACCATCAGACACAAAGGGCAGAAAACCACGAAGAACCTTTTTATCTCAATTATCTCATTATTTGCCGCACATTCAGAAAAAGTCCGAATTAAAAGACATGATCACGATTAAGGGGGAATTGAGATTTAAACAATCCTAAAAAAAAAAAGCAAAAATCAGAATTGCAAGATATAAACTCAAAATTGTGATAATAAACAAAGAGTTAAATAAAACATTCGTAATGACTAAACACAATGAATCATTTATTAGGCATTAGCATCTAGTGAAATCATCATCTGTTGAGCATTAACTCTACATTACTAAACGTTAGTAGGCAGTTTATATCTGCAGCTACAAATGCTCAATTTTTGACTTACAACCACATTTATAATGTGCTTAATAATTGTACGTTCATACTTTGCTAATGATTTATTTTCCATAACTAAATTAAGAATTGCATTATTTACAAACCAGTTGTATTTAAGAGTAGTTGGAGGTTTTTAAGATCATTCAGAATGAGTGAGTAAATGATTATTAAACTACTGAAATCAACATTTATATCTCTTATAATTCAGGCACATATTAATGTTTACTATTTATGTTAATAAATGCTTTATTAATTCGACCTCATGCAGTTTTGTGACCTAATCTAAAGTAAGGCCTATTTATGCTTCATAAATCTCTAATAGATGACAATTAAAGGCTTGGTATCAAATGAACAATAATCTTTGCAATATTATCTAAAAAGTTAAATTCCTGTAAGGTTTAAACATTGCTGAATAACAGGAATGTCAAAATACAACATGGAACGATAAAATAACAACTAATAATTCAACAACATAATAAGTTGCAGTAATGAGTAATGTACTGTCATTTGATTTTAGATACGCTTGCAAAGATAAATTTTTTTTTATTTGAAGTACAGTTTCATTTGTGGATCTTCAAACGAATAGGAATGAATAATGTTGTCTTTTCTTTCTGTTTAGAATATAACTGAGCCTTTAATTGTCATTAATAAGGGATTTATAAAGGATACATAGTCCTCAATTTAGATTAGGTCAACAAAACTGGAAGAATTTGAGTTAATAAAGTATTTATTAACAAACTTAACTCAACTATTAGTATATGCCTGAATAATAAGTATTATAAAATGTTAATTTGAATAGTTAATTAGTTATTTACATAATTCATTCTGAAAGACCTTAAAAAAAACAACCAACTATGCTTAAATAACTGGTTTGTAAAAAAAGCAATTCTTAATTTAGTAATGAAAAACGAATTATTAAGTATGAAAGTACAATTATTAAGCTCATTATAAATGTGGTTTTAAGTCAAGAAAATTCATTTGTAGCTGCAGTTATAAACTGCTTACTAACATTTATTAATGTAGAGTTAATGCTTAACAGATAATGAATTCACTATTTGCTAATGCTTAATAAATTGTTTATAGTGTGTAGTTATTAAAAGTGTTCACAAAACATTCTCGAAAAAAGGGCAAACTTGAGAAACATTTGCAACTGTGAGAACAAAAATCCTAGTTCTGCTAATCTATACTTGCAATTCTCAGTTTTGTTGTGGTATATATGTACATACAGCGCAAAAAAAAAAATTTTGCAATTCATCATACTATGAAAAATTGCATTTTATTTCTTCAAATTGTGATTTTATTTCTTAAAATTCTATTTATGTCTCACAATTCTCCCATTATCTTAATGAACTGCAACTTTTAAGTTTATATTTATATTGCAACTTTATTTCTCATATTGCTACTTGTATATCTCACAATTTAGACTTAATTCAAAACACATGTGCTAATATACAAAGTCTGAATGATGAGATATAAATTTGCACAATAGAAAAACTGAAATGTCATGAAAAAAAAACCTTTTGTTTTTTAAATTTTATGACGGAAACAAGCTCCCACTGAAAATGAATCATTCGGCATTTATAGACCTTCAACCAAAGTACTGCACGTTACTATCCAAAGTAAAATAATAATAATTATAATAATAAGGCAAATGAAAACAAGGAATGTAGTGTATAAGCTGACTGGAGACCTGCAGTCACGAGCTATACATAAAGCCACAGTTGTGCTGCTTTCATTTAGTGTCTTTCACCTTTTAATTCGAGTGTTTGCTTGTTTAGCTAAGGCCACTTAAGAATCACCTCCAAGTACCTCGAAACGATCCGCTTATTTTCTTGTTCTCCATTTTCACCCATCACCATTCAATCCCAGTTCCTCTCATGCAATACAGCTCTTTTTATTTTCGCCACCATCCGAAATGAAAAGGCAGATTGGAATAAACGTGCTACATCACAAAGCATCGGTTTCCCTGGTGCCACTGGGATTGTTGATTGTCTTAAGCGAAGGGGGTTGCAGAAGTACAGCCAAGGTGATGAACACTTTGGTAATGGTCGAGTAGAGCAGCCCTTTAATCAAACCTTTGGTTAAGGGAGCAGTTGTTTGTGTGAAGGCCATATTTTACAGTACGGTGCTCTCTGTGTCGAGGTCTGCGTCCTTCAGGTGAGTTACAGGCTTCTCAATTGCGATGTCCGGAATGAGAGCTCGACCCACTGCTTTAAATGTCATCCCCGATTCTGCAAGACACAAATAGGTTACAAATCTGCCTCTCAAGTCTGGCTATTATCTGGTTGATAATAGTAATACAGGTCAACAGTTAGAGGTGAGCAGAACCAAATGATTGGAAATGCAGTACATTTCAAACAATGTTTTACAACTTTAACAACTGTTACTATTACACATATTGTTCTTTTTTTTAAAGGGTTTTTACCCATACATGAAAATTGTGTTGTAAATTTCTCATCTGCATGTCGTTTAATTCACCTGAGACCTTTATTCATCTTCAGCACACAAATGACCATATTTTAGATGTAATCAGAGAGCTCTCTCATCTTCCATACACCGCAAGAAATATCTCTTCATTAAGTTTCTGTATTTCGTGATTCACAAGTGTTTTCTGTTCATTTACAGTTTTGAATTGCATTATGGGATCTTGATCTTTGCTCTGTTGCCTTTTGATGTTGAAAATTCAATTCTACAGTTTAACAAAGTGATTTTGAAGAACAACTGCTGATTTCACATGGAATGTTTTGACAATATTTTTAGTTCCATTTCTGGACACTGAATAGCCCCTTTCACACAGTGATACCGGTAAATATCCGGAAAATTTCCGGAACGACTTTACCGGTATATTGAAAAAAGCGCTGTTCACACAGGCGAGGACGTTACGGAAATTTTCCGGAAAAGAGCATTCACACATCCATTCCAAAATACCGGTAAATTCTGACATCATTCACCACAAATGAGCTTTAAACGGCTGCGCTTGTATTTGTAAACATTTGACTAAATTACAAACTCTTTTGATGATCAATATTGTAAACAACTTTCACTGGATCATATTCGCATGTCGAGATGTTCATAATATGTGCGTGTGCTGACGCTCACAGGCTGTTTCATGGGCACACGCAAAGCTTGAAGGTAAACAAACAACGGCTTATCATAAGCATCTTATCGATGATTATTTGCACAGTTGGCATTAAGAAGAACATATAAACGTGATCTGACTAACTTCTAGCAGCTAAATGTGTCTGGAAAAATATTCAAAGGCTTTTATTCTCACAAACCGCGCGGACGTAAATGCGTCTGACTGTTGTGATTGGCTAAAGCAGAAGTCTTACGTCAGCACGTTCTAGACGTGCACGAGCTTATTCCGGAAATCTTCCTTCTGCGTTCACACAGCGCAGCATTCCGGCAAATTGCCGGTAATGTTACAACTTCTCTTTCCGGAAAATAGCCAGAACGAATTTACCGGTATTTTCAAAAAGGACCTGTTCACACATACAACCTTTCCGGAAAATTGCCGGTAATTTTCCGGAAAGGTCTGTATGTGTGAAAGGGGCTAATGTCTCTAGATTATAGGGCTGGACGATTAATCGAAAAGTAATTGAAACCAACATTCAGAACCTGTAATCGATCTAATTTTTTCTATCATTTTCTCTACAGTGTGCGGACTCACATAACCCTGCTCTGTTTATACAGTCAATAGTTTTTCCTGTTTATACTATACTGCTCTGCACAAACATGATCCACCACAGCCTTCATGCAGTCGCATAACCTTTATGCAAATGCTGAAGTTATTTATTTTACAAAAAAAGTGACTGTTCGTTTTAGGTATTGTGTTTTGATTTTAGTTGTTCAACATTGATGAACGATCATAGATAGTTGATAGTGTGCGTTTCCTTCAAAAACTTTAAATTCAAGTAATGCACCATTTAAAGAATTCCTTACTTAATATTTGAGCATATTTCTTTTTCAAAACCAGTCAGTGAACTGTAAGGCAAAAAAAATAAATAAATCAATAAATAAAATGATCGTTCATTAATTGTAATCGAGGTAATTCAATTAAAAAAAGATTTTAATTTTAGGCCAAATCGCCCAGCCCTACTCTAGACTATTGCTGTAAATAGAGGATGAGGGAGCTCTCTGATGTCATTCAAAATATCTTCATTTGAATTCTGATGATAAACAAAAGTTTCAAAGCATTGGAAGAAAATGAAGATGAGAATTAATAACACAATTTGAATGTTTGTGTGAACTAACACTATTAATCCTACATGCACAAGTAAAAATGATTGATCATTTGACTTCCTGATAGAATTCAATGTGATAATCTAAAAATAAATGATAATTTTATGAATAAACTACACAAGTTAAGTAATTTCGTACAGTAATTACAGAAAAAAATTATATTTAATTTAAATAATATTTTTGTTCAGAACATCAGTAGAATTACAATTTAAATGAATATGGCCATCACTGTATTCTAAACATTAACCCATTATGTATAGTATTCGTGTAGCTACAACTAGGCATAGGACGATAATCGTTTTCAAGGTATGTCGCGTTTTGGAAAAGTCAAGGTTATAAAACTGCTAAAATTTTCGACTATATCGCTCCTTGGGTTTGTGTAAGATGTTTTATTAAAGTTTTTTTTTTTTTTTTTTAAGACAACAGTATCTCCAACAGAAAAGATATCCAAAGTTGATTGTAAAGAAATCTGTGTTTTCAAAACAAACGAAGACAGCAGAATCTATTATTTATTTGAATATTTAGCCCGACATAATTATTGTTACAATTATTCTAAATGTTTCCACAAATTATTAAGCACAAAGAACAATAAACAATGTTATGAACAATATTAACGAAGAGTGGTCAAAAAAAAAGTTATTTCCAAATACACATGCTGTGCCCTATATGGTTAAACCTGATAGGTGGACAAATCTAAGCTTGTTTTTAATAAAACAAATATAAATATGGATATAATAAATAAAACTGCTAATAATAACAACATTATACAAAAGAAAATTGTCATGAATAAACTAAAAAAAGCTCACTAATGAGCGCAAATGCATTTACTATTTATACACCGTGCTGGAAAACGTCAAAACAACTTTTGGTGAAACTAGCCGAGCTGAAAACTAGCAAGCAACAATTGCGTTGCGCCTTGCAAAACATTGTTACACCACTATTCAATAAAAATAATATTCTGCATATTTTAATTTCATAATGACTGCGAGTAAACACAGCTTTTTGTTTGTTCAGTTGTGGTGTTCACTGAAAGCTCACAGAAACACAAACAATCAGCCTGTTACTCAGCAGCCTACAGTGTGAGGGAAATAAAAGAGCTTCACCCATTGTTTTGAAGGCAGCGCTGCAAATTCCATTGCTGTCACTTCCTATGGCTGGAGGCTGAGGCGGAGGGGGGACAGTGGGTCTGTTGCGTGGTTTGGGCACAGGCCTGGGGCGTGGAAGCGACCCTGACTGGAACACCGGAGGCGCGGTGGGACTAGGACTGTCCTGGAAGACTGCTGTGGGAGGAGGGGTGCTCGGTGGGGTGGGGGTATGTGGAGGCGAGGGGTCTTCAGCTTGGTCACCAAGCATGCCGGTTTGGGGAGGTGGAGTGGTTTGGGTCGGGGGCTGTGGAGGTGGGTGGTTGGGTGCCTGAATGGGAGGCTGGTTGCTGGAGTGGCGGCGTGGGGTGGTGTTGGTTTGGGCCTGGGTCTGTGTGGGGCTCAGATTGGTTGGAGAGTAACTGGAAAGCGGTCTAGGGGACGGGCTGAAGGACTGAGGGGTGCCTGATTGGGTCTGTTGTGGAACGGGCTGATTGGCTGGTTGGATTGGTGGAGGGTTGGCTGGTTTAGGTGGAGCTGGAGCAGGCTTCTTTGTACCTAGAAATATACAGTAAAAGGCAATTTAATATAAGCTCTTTCTGCCGTTTTGAGTTGATCTCATAATATAAAGGCCTTACACTTCTATTAATTCTTGCACATTTCTGCATATTTTCCCTTCAGAGTTTAATTTTATTTAATTCAAAATTAAACTCAAATGTGCTAGATGACCTTGATTTGTTAGACATAAAGTCAGATTTATTAGCCTTTGCTGTGAAATTTGATTTCTGAGTTTCTGATTTAATATTTCCCAATTGTTTTCAACAGATATAAGATTTTTTCAATACATTTTTTTAACATAAGTTTTAATAAGTATTTTTTTGCCTTTGCCATGATGACAGTACATAATGTTTAGCTAGTTTTTCACAAGATACTAGTGTATACAGAGAAATTTAGAAATATATGGGGTTTTTTTAATCCATAAAAAAAAATAAAATAAGACTTTCTTAATTCTGTGAAAAATACTGTGAAAAATGACCTTTTTTTTTAAAGAATACTATTTATATTTTGTCTTAACTTTTAATGGCATAATATAAAAACTGCAATGAGAGATTAAAAAACTATTTTAACACCAAATACAGAAACAAGTTTACACTGAAATATGAGCAACCTGCAGCATTTGTATACCTTAAACAACTAATTGCATGTTAGCAGTACTAGTGTAGTTGAGCTCATCATATAAAGGCCTTGACATAATGAATTCAAAATACAAAAAATCCGACTAAAACAAAGAATTTGTTTGGATTTCATGCTGAAGTTACAAACTATGCCCACAATACCTAAGAATAACCATAATTACTAAACACAAAATATTGTTTTTTTTCTTCATTATTCACTATATCACAATTGCTTGGACATTTACATTCACATAGTCATTCACACTTTTATCAAAAGTCACTAACAAATAAGGACAAAAGTAATCTTTCAACAAAAGAACAACATGCCAATACCACTACAACTTTCAATTTGTTAATACAGTTAATGCAGTAAACAAAGTTTTACTGGATGTTTTCCAGCTGCCTTAGCATATGTTAATGCATTTGGTCAAATGCAAGTTATAAACATCCAATTCCAAGATTACATCTTCCTTCCTTTCTGAAAGGAAAGGGAGGAGAAATGTCAGTAAAAGAAGAGAGAAGGTCAGGCCTGGGCCAGTGTATGCTGCTGTTTTGTTTATGTCTGTTCATCAGTCGTCTGTGAGGGGCTGCTGCTTACTTTTGTTTAGATTCTGTTTATTTTGTGATTGCACTTTCATTGTTTGATATAAAGGCCCAATCCCGATTCTATTTTTGTACCCCTCCCCTTCAAAATTTACCCCTAAGAAATGGGACACCACTAAAACACCTGCACACATCATCATATGTCATTGTGATCTCTTGCTTCATATGAGATCATGACTGCTGTAGTTATTTCAGTTGTGTTATTTAATGGTATTTATCCTTTATAATGTGGCAATAGGATCGTAACTGTACTGTGCATTTACACAGTGGCCATTTATGTAAACACAGAAAAAAAGACATTGAGATTATGGCAGACACTGTAAAAAGCTCATTCCCAGCCACAAGACAGTTCTGACAGAATATTCAAGTGTCATCTAGTGACAGAATGTTGATGGACTACTATACAAGAATTTTTATTAGGGATTGTAGACAGCAAAATTTAGGCATTTTTATTTTAGCTTTTTTTTTTTCTTTTTTTTTTTTTTAAGCATGAAGGTTATAATTGTATTAAAATTCGTAATAATGACAAAAAATTTTTTACCCATTGGTTTCAAGTGTGGTCCTGAAAAATCTATGTTCGAAGGGGTATATAGTCCTATGCCTTAGCACTATCATTCACGATAAAGAGAATTGGCACACCCCTACCACTTCACATGCAAAACGAGGGGTAGGGGTAAGGGGAAGGGCTAAGAGGTAGAATTGGGATTGGGCCCAAGTACATTGAGTAGTGAGTATATTTTGGGCCTTCACCTTTTTTTAAGGCAAGTCCACTAACCTCTGCGTGTCATGTGAGGACTGGGTCCTGTAGATCCCGCCACAGGGGTCCCCACACTCAGCTGTCCTGAGCCTCCAGTGCCATTTCTCTGAGCAGGAGGAGTGGATGCAGAGTCTCGGCTCTTTGAACTGTTAAACAAACAGACAGAAAAGTCAATCAACAAAAATTAATAATATTCATTTATTAATATTTATTCTGCAGCATGCAAACTCCAACTTTCTCCGATGGAATATTTTGACATTAAGTTGTATAAAACAGCAACTTGTATTCTCACAATTAGTTTACGAATAAAATAATTTACAGCTTGGAATAACCGGAAAAGTACATAACTATTATTATGTAATACCCCAGTAAAATTTATTCTTTATATACAGTTGAAGTCAGAATTATTAGCCCCCGATTATTTTTTCTCCAATTTATGTTTAACGAACAGAAGATTTTTTCTTCTCTTTTATAAACATGCAAGTTTTAATAACTCATCTTTAATAACTGACTTATTTTATCTTTGTCATGATGACAGTAAATAACTAGATATAACTTTTACTAGATATTTTTCAAGACACTTATATGCAGCTTAAAGTGACATTTAAAGTCACTAGTTGAACTAGGTTAATAAGGTTAACTAGACAGGTTAGGGTAATTAGGCAAGTTATTGTATAACGATGATTTGTTCTGTAGACTAATATATATAAAAATATAGCCTTAAGGAGCTTATAATATTGTCCTTAAATGGTTTTTAAAAATTTAAAACTGCTTTTATTGTATCCGAAATAAAACAAACAAGACTTTCTCCAGAAGAAAAAAATACTATCAGACATACTCTTAAAATTTCCTTGCTCTGTTAAACATCATTTGGGAAATAATAATAATAAAAATAATAATAATAATAATAATATTCAACTGTATATATTTTAGGCAATAACTGCTATGAATGAAAGCTTGTTTTAACCCACTCATTGAAGAGAAAAAGATGACTGGAACTAATTTAATAATTTAGAAACTATTGAGCGTGAATGCCCATATCAATTCAGAGAAAACAACTCTCAGAACTCTGACTTGTAATACAAGTTTAAATCTAGCAATTCTCCAGCCAACAAGAAAAACTTAATTAAACTCAGAATTGTGAGAAAAGTCAGAATTGTAATCATATCTACATATTTTGAAAATAAATGAAAATAATTAGACACCTTTAGTTACGGAAATTTAAATAACTGATCATTCAACTCAATAATGGAAACAACTATACAAAAAAAAATGAGTTGGAAAGCTCAATTTTTCTCCTCTACAGCTACTCCATGTGCATGCAGGGTTGCTTCATTCATGCATTGCACCGGCCCGGCACACAGCAGGCATCTTACCTGATCTCCTCAGTATGCTGTGCTAGAAGCTGCTGTGCTGCTGCCAGGGCAGCCATCCCCAGTGCCACCCCAGGCTGGCAGTTCTCTAAGCCCAGACCCACCTGCGCAGGCTGCTGGAGCAGGAGTTCAGCTGTGGACTGACCCCCTGCACCACCCGCAGCCTCCACCGGGGGCAGCGGAGGCTGGAAGGCAGGCGAAGCGTGCTGCTTTCTAGGTACAGTATTGCCTCTACGAGGATTGTGGTCCATTAATTTATTAGCAGAGCTACAGAAAGAGGAGACAGCAAAGACACCACTAGTGCTAATAAGTTCCCAGAAGAGCGACACCACAGAAACCAAGAGGGCAAACTGCACAGGTAGAAATCCCACTGACACAAACATTGAAGGGTTAATAGGGGGAAGCAATAATTTATCAGTAGAACAAACAATTATTGAGAGGTTAATGGTGAGTGCAGCACTGGGCGAAATGAAAAACTGAAAACTATCAGGCTAAAAAAAATTTAATTCCACATGATTTATGTAAATGTGTTGATGTCGAGCTTTGTTTTCTACATTGTTTGTATATTTTACAGGATCTCAAATGAGACTGCACAAGGAAGACAATATTGTATATACATAATCTTATTCAAAACTAAAAGATGTAATAGGACATAAGATCTGTTACACTTGTGTGTCCCAATTCGCAAACTATACATCCTAAATAGTTCTCGAAAATAGAACTAGTATTTCCCAAACCATAGTATGTTGAAAATAGTATGCCAAAGGCTCCCGGATGGTTTACTATTTCCGGTAAAAATTTGAAGTGTAGAAGCTTTCATGTTCTAAACGATGATATTGCCCATAATACATTGTGCGATGGACGTGAATTTGATCACAGGGTTGCTGCAGATACCATCATGTCAAATTTAAGACTTTTAAAGTCCTTTTTAAGACCATTAAGTATTAAATTTAAGACCTGCATCACAATATCAAAAACACGTGAGAGCAAAGAATAACAAAATTAGCGGCAAAATAAATGTATTCAAATTGAACAGTACTGAAGACAGGTTAGATGCATCACTGAATTACAGGAAAAAAACAAACTAACATCTTAAGGCTGATTTATACTTTCGCCTGGCACCGCATTGCACACCTTCACTGACTGCGCGCACACCTCAAACGGACGAGACTCTTTAAAACTACAGGGGCGGTCAAAGGAAAGCCACTGTAAAGTCAATTGGATAAACAGAGAAGTAGGAAGTTTCCGGAACTTAGTCATATCATTAATATTGTTCAAAATTTTTAAACAAATTATTTTTTATTATTTTTTATAATTTATTATAATGATTGTAAAGATTTTTATAACCATTCAAGCTGGTTGGTGCATCACTTCTATCTCACTATCTCAGACAGTCCTATTAAAGTTAAATATTAATGACTACAGAAAGAATGATTTGTTTTTGAAAGGATAAAACCAAAAGAAATTTATAAAAAAATACTGACTTTTTTATTTTTATTTTGCCCACTCAACAGTTCACACATTACTGGCTGGTTAGTTTCTGTCCTCGACTTGAAAGCTAAAAAATGCAATAAAGTTCCAACATTCCTGATCATTATCACCAATGATGCTTAGAAAAACAGCATCAGTATATTGTAAACCGATAGGTTCAAGTATTCTTTTCCAGTTATCAAAGACATAATTTATTACTTCATTTTGGTTTTGTAACTATTAAATTGTTTTAAATTCAAAACTGTAATATATAGATCAGTGTAAAACCTACAACTGGTGGAAAAACATATTCTGTAATTGTGTACCTGGACTCTTTTGGCTTTAACAAACTTATCCCTCAGGTTTTGCCAAACTTTTTAACAAAAACTTTCCTCATTTCCCACTGCTGTTGCAATTTCTAGCTAAGAATTACTGTTCATTTGGATGGATCATAAAGGTGTCTGTACAGTCGTACCCGTTTCAGACAAAATCTCTTCAAAGCGATTTATATTTAACTCAAATGAAACTGTTTGCTCGTGTCTCAAAACATTTTGTGTGCTCTGCCATCCAAAATCAGTCACGCGCACCCAAAGCAAACCTCCACAAACTCTGCGATGACGTCACATTTGCCGCGCGCACTGAGTTCAATAACAGAAAGCTGATTGGCTATTGCATGTTGGTCTCATTTGTAGTTGTAATACCACAAATTACATTTGAAATAGTCAACTAAAGAACTACAACACCACCACAAAAACCAAGCAACAACAACAAAGAAGAATTTAAATGAGCATTAGATGTAGTGTTACATGGAAATCGTAAAAATAAGGCCAATGCAAAAATATTGCAGACCTAGAACAGCGAATTTAAGACTTTTTAAGGCCTAATAATTAGATTTTTACATTTTAGACTTTTAAGACACAGAGGAAACCCTGCATTAGAACTACAAACACGAGTGAAAAATGTAAATAAACCACAAACATGGCGGACGTACGAGACCAAGACTTCGGTAAAGATGTTTGAATGACCATTAATCAATATTTAGCCCACAGGAAAATAGTTCAATTGCATTTTCCGCATCATATTTCATCTGTAACAAAAATGTGAACTTCTATCAAGATTTGTTTGGACATTAACTTCTCAATCCATAATTATCCAAAGACCTGAGGAGATTTCTCTGCATGAAAAAATTGTTAATGGCAAATTAGCCCGCTGCTGCTTCTCCAATAAGGTACGAAATTAAATATGAAAGAAATGTGGATGATGTTTCGAGATGATTGACTGGGGACTTAACTAAGCAACATAACGATATGTTAAAGAGCGAGTAGTATGTCCCAAAGCTTGCATACTCTTCTGTTACATACTCAAAAATATATACTTTTCCTCCACAAAAAGTACATACTTCTAGGGTGCAGTATAAGTACGTGAATTGGGGCGCAGCGCATGTTTTTTTTTTTTTATCAAACTACTACTTTTACATCCTTTCCTTATTTAACAGACAGAGAGTTTAACAAGCGCCCTCTAGTGCTTTGTAGTATTTGTTAAATTACACTTTTGCTAACAAAACAAAACATGGTAACAGATGCTATGTTTAGTTACAATTTAATAATTAATTTGAAATAATCGTACAAAATAAATCGCCCAGTACTATGTGAGTGTAATTTGATCAATTTTTTTAATTGCTCAATTAAAGTGGATTGATCTTGGTGAAGCATGAGTAAATAACCAGTGTAACTGATTTAGAGAATCAAACACTTTGGTGTAAAATGTTACCTGTCTCTTCGGGGCATATCCCCATCTGGACCAACCATACTGCCAGGTCTCTTTCTCTCTATGGTGCCTGAGTCATAATCTGGCGGCGTCAGGTGATTGACATTGTTTGGCAGGGGTGCGGGCATCGAAAACATGCCGGATACATTAAAATCCACATCTAAATGAATAACAAGAAACAGGTTCATCTTAAAAGTGATAGAGATGCTTTCTTTCACTAAGACATTTACAGCTTTACAGCACATACCCTCAGGGAAAAACCAGTCCGCATGCTGGATGATGGGGTCGATTATAGTAACCACATGGACAGAGGTTGCAGCAGCCATTTCTGCTAGGCTCCTGAGAGTAGATAGACTGTGTTTTTAAAAGGATACAATGAAGGATGATAATGTGTTTGTTGCATTTGCAAAATATTGTTACCCCTCAGTTTTGGCCCACAGTAAGTTGGGTCCAAGGACAATGGCGATGTTGCTGGGCGTCATCTTGTTAACGTCACTTTCCTGTGCAAGTTTAGCGAGGAACTTAACAAGATATCTGCCAAACAGAAGAGAAACAAGTTAAACTTGAAAATAAAAAAAATATTTTTTTTAAATCTGGAATTTAATTAAAGAGTTCAGATGCAAAAGCCGCTTAACACCATTTCCGCCAAAAATGAGATAATGACATTGAGTGGATGCTTTAGGCAGGTACTACACCATTAACAAATACATTTGCTTCTAATCATCCAAATCCCAGTGTCAGCGCTTTCAGAAATAACAGTTTGTTGGCAAAAGTCTCTGAATGCCACTTGCCTTTGATAGCAAAAGCGCTATAAGCCAAGAACCAATGATAAGACGCAAATCAAATAATATATTTCCAATGCAGCAGTGCACTGATACGCCGGCTTTTATGAGGAGACAGTTTTATCCCTGTCTGACTGTCAGTGGATGGCAAATGAAAATGTACCTTACCTCAAAGCTTTGTGCATTATAAAAAAAGAAAACATAATGTACAGTTGGAAGTGTAGCATGCATTCATATTGTTGTTTGCGCAGCGGCGCTACTTTAAATGAGTCCGATTTACTATACATTAAACGGAAACGACTCCATTTCGCGAAAGACGAAGTTACGATGTCGATTTTTTTATCCCACAGGGATGCTATGAGGAAAAACAAGACAGCTTGTGAATGACAGCTTCGATAATTGTCTGCAAGGCATCCCCTTTTTTTGCACAGTAGGCCTACCTTGTGTTTTATTTGCTTATGTAAGCTATTAATTTTTTTTTTTTTTTATAAAACTATACATTGTTTATATTACTTCATAATATCTATATGCATGATTAGTTTTTATATTAATAGACAATGCACAGATGTTGATGTTTCACCATATTTTTAGACTACATTGTTTGAATCTACCAAGCTGAGTTTACAATGTTTACATTGCTCTACTTACATTTAATCTAAATCTCAAATACCAGAAATGACAACAGATTGTAAAATTTAATTAATGTCAAGTTTAATTTTATTTAATAATGCACTTACCTGACAAATTTCTTTCATTCATTTTCCTTCTGCTTTTTCCCTGGTTTATCACAGCGGAATGAACTGCCACTTGACCATTTTAATTTATGTATTTTTGATTTTAAGTGGTTTGAGTATGTGTTTTATGTTTGGTAAAATAATTTCTATTTGCATCTTTAGTGATTTTCAATTAATTACATTGTCTTATTCCAATAGATAGATTTGCAAAAAACAAAAACAAAAAACAAACAAACAAACAAACAAACAAAAAAACAGACGCAGATTTAGCTGGTTTTGATGCAAAAGAAAATCTACCTTGTTAAAAACCAAAGAATTGTCTAAAGTGTCATTTAAAAAAAAAAAAAAAGGTATTTTATTTAAAAGCTAATAACCTCATCATTACATATAAATGAAACTTCTGAACCTAATCAGTGGAGACCGATAGAAAATGCTCATTTACAAGAAAAGAGGTCTGATGGATTTAAAGGGTTTTGCACCTGAACTCTTCATTTGTAGTAACTTTGAACATATGGTATATGGCAAATGATTTTTTTTTTTTGATGAAATGCTGATTTAATAAACATACTATTATACATGTCAAGGTTTTAAATTATAAAAATACAATGAAATGTAATATTGTTTTGGCAGTGATCTGCTGATTGCAAGCAATTGTTGTTTTGTTTATTAATAATGAATATTAATAACAACAATATGAATTGTTTGACTTTTTGTTATATTGTAATAGACTGTATATTAACTTTAATTACTGAAGATGGATAATTGAATAACAATAAAAATAAGACAAACCAATATTTTAATGTTAGTTTTCATAGTAATGTGTGTGTGTGTGTGTGTATTATATAAAACATATTAAAAACAATATTTGTTAAGCATCTGAAAAATACCATTAAAAATATTTGTAATATTTTATTATTCAATTATGAAAATTATGCATTTTTTGTTGTTTTGTTTTCTCACTGATTTCACTGACAATTGTTTGAATTTTATTTATTCTATTTAAAGCACAATTAAAAACAAAATACATTTCATACAACATTACACACAATATATGTGGTGTGTATCTGTGTGTTGGATTAGACATACACTACAAAAGTGTTTTTTTTTGTGTGTGTAATTATTCTGTTCATCAAGACGGCCTTTATTAAAGGGAATTTTAAAATATATATTACTCCGGTCATTATTGTTTTTGTTACTATTATTATTATTATTTCTATTATGATTTCTAAATGATCATGTGACTCTGAAGACTAGAGTAATGAGGCTGACAATTCATCTTTAAAATTAACAGAATATATGATTAAATTCAATTATAAACTACTTTTGAACAGTTATTTTATAGTGCAATAACATTTAACAATTTTACAACTTGTACTGTATTTTTGATGAAATAAATGCAGCCTTGGTGAGCAGGTGAAGCTTATTTTAAAACATTTTAAACCAGACTCATCCCAAACTTTTGACCGGTAGTGTATGTGCATACGTTTCAAACATATTGGTAAACAATAAATACCTAAATCAAAATAAAAAATAAAAACACTTAAATTTAAGAAAATCGTTCATTTTCATCATTCAATCATTTCATAACTTATTTTTCATAATTAAAACAATATTTATTCTCCACTATTTGTCTTCGCATTCATATGCATTAGAAGCTCACCTGAAGTTTGCCTTGTTGTTTTTTGGTAACTGATCGCAGGTAACCCACAAAGCTTGTAATCGTTTGTCTGGGTCAGGAACACTTGACAAAACAAAAGTGCAACACAAATGAACAACACAAACTTCATTTAAAGCCTAGTGTAAACCACAGTTAGATGGCTTACTTGGAGGCCTGTATCCATTCATCATACAGCTGGTAAGTCATCAAAGGTTCAGGCAACTCTCTGAGATACGACTTCAGTGCCCCTTAAACCAAGAGAGCATAGTTAGAAATCACCATTTATTAAGTTTGACTGACATATTACTGATACACTAACAGAACAGGCCGTACCAGCAACAGCATGTGGATCTGAGTAAAACTCCTCCAGCTGTGAGGTGGAGCAATCCAGAGCAGCCTTCAGCTTCTTCAGTTTAGAGGCTCCTGCTGCGATGCGGAACAGACCCTGGAGAATAAGCATACAGGCATATTTACATTGCCAGCAAAGTCCCAAAATGATCCTATCAAGATTCTAAAGTTTTGTTTTGATTGATCATTGCCAAAACAATAATATCATATTTTTTGATAATTCAAACATTTTAGATATGTAAACAACTGAAAACATTCATTGATCTGCCTTGAATAGATTAGAAGATTCAATAGACTGGACCTGCCTGAATGGACTGGAAAAGATGACTGTGGCAGATCAACAATGCGAGATTTATCATTATTACAAGGCTGTAGAGGTGTGTACCTACATTACTCTCATAGTTTGGTTTGGTTATGATTATCATGCCATCGATTTGGTTTGATTAATGACGCTTTCCATAAACAATTATATATTTTACTTCACAGCACAAGAATCTTTGTAATAAAATGTAATATTCATAAATACATTTTATGTGTATTTGTAATACAATTTTGTCCTTTAATACAAGCATTCAGATATATGATCTGTACATTTAATTTGATCTGCTCAAAGAAAACATTTTTGAATTGTTTCAAACAAAACTCGCCTCCCTCCCCATAGTAACCTTTCGCAATATTGCGCATTTGAGATAAATGACTTCAGTACGCAATAACCGGTTAGTATCTAACTGAACCGAAACCGAACTGTTCATGTCTACACTGTGGTGCACTAAAGAAACAATTAATTTTGACACTCCTACAAGGTTGCCTGTAATACTTGATTCAGATTGATCAGTCGCAACATTTTAAGGTCCAGTTGAAGTCAAAATTATTAGCCCTCCTAATTATTTTTCCCCTTTTTCAAATATTTCCCTAATGATGTTTAACAGAAGAAAAAAAAATTCATAATATTTCTGATAATATTTTTTCAAAAAGAAAAATTCTTATTTTATTTAGAGTAAAAGCAGTTTTTAATTTTGTAAAAAAAAAACAAAAAAACATTTAAAGTCAATATTATTAGAGCCCTTAAGCAATATTTATTCCATAGTCTTTACAGAACAAACCATCATTATACAATAACTTGCCTAATTACCCTAACTTGCATAATTAACCTAGTTAAGCCTTTAACTTGCACTTTAGGCTAAATGCTAGTATCTTAAAAAATATCTGGTCAAATATTATTTACTGTCATCAATGCAAAAATAAAAGAAATCAGTTATCAGAAATGAGTTATTAAAACTATTACACTTAGAAATGTGTTGAAAAAAATATACAGGGGGCTAATTATTCAGGAGAGCTAGTAATTCTGACTTGAACTGAATGTTTTGTAAGGTAAGAAAAGCCGGAAAAGCCAGAGGCCAGAACAAAGTGTGAAGGATGCCTTGAAGTTGAGTAAATCATGGAGTCATTTTAATTTTAGGTGAACTAACTCTTTTATTAAACATTCCTGCATCTTTATACCGCAGTTAGGCATGGGCTAGTATAAGTTATCAAGGGTATGATAACCTTGGATAAAAATATCACGGTTTCACAATATTGAGATTACTGCTCTAAAATAAGTTCTTTTTAAATGTCTGGGGAAAAACAAAAACACATTTTCCACCATTGAACACAATATATTTTATTTTAGGAAACATTTATAATATTTTGAAACGGTAAACTGAATTTTAAACTGAATATTGTCCCATGCTTAATCATAGTAAATTATGCAAAAATATTTTCTAATATATTTCATGTACCTCCTCTTTCATTCCAGTCTCCAGTAGCATCATGACACATGCCTCTATGGGCAGAGCAATCTCTCTGCTGCTGCGCTTCAGGTGCTCGTCCAGAGCTGTCCCAAACGCTGGCTTCTCACTCCATGAGTCTGTCCAGAAATAAAAACTTAATTTAAAAAAATGCTGACTGGATATATCATCTGTACAGATTATTAAAATAAACAATAGATTTGCAGACGAAGATTTCATCTACTTTCAAGATAAACTAAACACTGTGTCCTGCTGTGACATCCACTCTTCAAGCAGTTTTTTCCTCTTTTTTGTTTTCTTACTGTTTCTGAAAAAGGCAAATTAACCAGGTGGGTGAGGTGTGAGAAGTATTACTCATGGTTCACATGCTGGGATCTCAAGTCTGTTTGCCTCATGTGTGCCCGCAGGAAAACATCACAACAACAACAATTTATAGCACTTAAGTGCTAGTTTTACAGGCACAAATATGAATGAAAGCAATTAAGCGCCTGAGTGGACTGCACAGGAAAAAAAAAACACACGGAAACAACATCAGGCTAAATTTATTTTCAGCTGATACATGTACATTAAGATGGTCATAAATACACAAAACCATGTCTTGAACGACTGAAGTCTGAAACATCTAGCTTGGAGTAGAAAAAAAAATCTGTCATCCTAAATTCATCCTCCACTTCTTTCAGACCTATTTGAATTTCTTTCTTCTGTTAATACAAAAAAGTAAAGTTTGACTAGTTTAGATATTGACTTACATCGGAAATTGTCTTCCTGTCATGGATGTCAAAGGCTGTTGATTTTCAACATTCTTTACAATATCATCTTAGTGTTCAACCGAATTTTTTTTTAACAAAGTTCAGAAACAAGGTTTCTGCAGGTTTCACCAAGTTACATTTAAGAATTTAGGACCATCAAGAAATCAATTTTAGACTTATATAGGGCTTATTGCTAAGGATTTTTTAAATGGCCCAACAGAATTTAATTACTTGCCCCATCAAAAAAGAATTTTAATGAGTTATTTCTTAGCCATATATTTAAAATAATGTGTCAAAACAAACAGACCCTTGTTGTATACATGCAAATAAAAAAAACTCTTTAAAAATAAAAAGTAAATAAACTAAATGTATGCAAAACAAACTGTTATAGTATATATTATAAATAGCGTTTTGTTAAAAGGTTTATTGAGATTTCATATTGTTGGTGATTGGATGCGTTGAAACGATTAGGTAAATTTTCATAAAGAAATTACAATTAAGACCTAGCTTTTAAAATTGTTTAAATTAAAGGCCTACAAGACAAAATTTTTGTGACTTTAAGGCCTAAAATGTAGTTTTTGAAATTTAAGACATTTTAAGACTTTTTAAGACCCCGTGGACTCCTTGGAGTAAACAGTGAGGAAAATCCCATAAAAATCATGTTTTTTCAAACCCGAATACCTTTTTTTTCTTCTGTGCAAGATAAACAATATTCTTAAGAATGTTCTTGATGATTTGGTCCCCATTGATTTCCAACTTATTTACAGTAAACAGATCAAATGAAACTCAATGGGAAGCAAAACGGTTTGTTTTCAACATTCTTTAAATATTTTCTTTTGTGCTCAGCAGATTAAAGAAATGGTTTAGAACAATTTGAGGATGACATAAAAAAAATGATGACACTAAGTACACAATCTTCTCCAAAGGGATAGCTGACCCCAGAATGATAACAGTGTCATTCCACTGTTTTTGACCAAACTAATATAGCAACTAAACAACATTATGCTAGGGGCCTCTAAAATGTTTGAGGTTTAGACTTGTCTCATAAAACAATACATTTTCTTGAGGCATTATCACTTGATTTTAGTATTTTTTATATTTGAGTATCTTTGTTAAAATAAGACCCTTATAACTATAGTACACTGACTTTTCCTAAATGTGTTTATATTTTAATCTAACATTTTTATAATTTTTTTTTAAAATTACAATACACAAAAGTTGTTCTGCGTATTTCTACCTTGAATGGCCATAACGTTGAAATCAACCACATGCATTTCAGCGTCTGCTACTTTGGCCTTGAATATGCATGTCTCTGTTGTATAGCAACTTTGTGTTAACAAAAACATAACTTTCCGATAGCAAATAACATTATTTCAAATATGTCTTCAACTTTCAAAAAAAAAAAAAAAAAAGTTTGTTTGCTGCAGTAAAAAAACAACCAGACAAATTGAGGTCTGTAACTTTTGAAAGCGGTCAAGTACAAAAAAATACAAAAAAAGAAATTTTTTAAAATAATAATAAAAAAAAAACATGATGAGAGAGACATTCTAAGCTTAATTCTACAATGTCAATAGATGCTTCAAAAGTAACTATGAGATGTCAGTCTTATACGAACAGCTAGTATGACTGCTACGATGTTTAAGTCAGATGCATTGGTCATCATGACCTTTTCCTTTTATTTTCAATGCAAGTAGTTTGGATTTCTTTTGACTTGCTCTTGGTTGCATTTTTTTAAGCAAGATCTGGCAACATAAATGAGTGAAGATTTGAAGAAGTCACACTTTTCATTCTGTGCATAAAAAACTGACACGTATTTAATATGTATTATTAATCATTTATAACAGTGTATGTTCACTTTGCTTCTCTACTCACTGCTTGGATTTGTTATAAATGCATTTCTCACTACTTGAAATTCAATGAGGTTGTCAACAGGGTTAGATGTAATCATTTACAAGGTAACTACTTACTGTAATTAAATTACTTAACCACTGATTACTATTCATTATTAAACATATTAAAGTTACTTATAATGTACTTCCCTTAAATACTGCAATTAAATTTAGCAGTTCTTTAGAAATTAATTCAGAGAAGCAGAGAAATTTGACTTTTTGTTATGTAAATATGTTTTGCAGAATATTTGTTTTATTTTCAACTAAAGGTTACATCTGGCAAGAAATTGCATGTGCTTAAAGGGGAGCTTTCATGACTCTTTTTACAAGATGTAAAATAAGTCTTTGTTGTCACGATGTCATATGTAAAGTTTTAGCACTAAATATCACACAAATATTTTTTTTACTCTTTGAAAGCACCCCTTTTAGGCTTTCAACCATTTTGTTGACTGTCGCTTTAAATTTACACGAGACTGTGATCCCAGCACTTCTTTTAAAAAGAAGGCAGGGATATATAAGCCTGTGTGTCACCAAAGCAGCAGATTCAAAAACATGTCTAAGATTATCTCTGTGAAAAACTGAAAATGTCAACAACAACAAAAAAAAAAAATCAGATCAAGGTCATTTCTGGAGACAAAACTCCACATTTATAATTAATCATTTAGATCTTCAGCAGATACAGTGCAAAAACTGTATTGGCGGGAGGCTGCTTCTCACTCAGGGCTGTCTAAGCTAATGAAGGAGAGATTGTCGCTAAAGGGTGAGGCTTTCCTGCTGTGGATGTCATGTACAAAGGCAGAATGTCAGGGCGCAGAGTGCTCCGAATCGGGCTCAGGAGAGGTTCAGTTGGCCGGCCCTAGTGTGGTTGGAAGAGGTGTGCCAGAGCACGGTTTGATTGGGCTTTGGCGTGGTGCGTTTGTAGTGTGAGTGCAAAGCGTGCCTGAGCCCAAAACTGAAGATGCGACATCACTTTAAGGGACTGTTTCATATGGATTTATAAATCATTCTTACTGTTCAATGAAAGCGAGCTGTCATATTTTATTAAAGACGCAAACCCCCTCCCTGCACGTCAACTCCACCTTCAGCAAATCTCTTATCCGTGCAGCACGAGGACTTTTATGATTATTTATGAGTGGCAAAATTGACTGATCTGTTCAGCAAAATATTTGACTGTGTGTCACTGCATCCCAAACGACTAAAACGATATAACTAAAGCAATCTCCACTGTGCTGAACGAGAGCGCTTCTCTTCAGTTAAACTGAGCAGCGCATCACGTTGACTTAAGCATGCTCCGGCTCGGATGCAATGTGAGTGCAGGCCGGGGAGAGGGAAGGGGGGACAGGCGTGCATCAGCACGGTTCAAGGGAACTGTAGATAGTATGAGTACTGTACGTCCTCAGCAAAAGTGTTTCTGCAGTTTTTAATTAGGCGTGATTGTAAAAAATAGAATTAATCATTGTTTACCATAAAGGCTGGCTATATTCACACACTGTTGCCACACAACTGTTTAAACCCCTTACAAAAAGTAATTTTTGCATAATAGGCCCATTACAACAATTAGCAACAAATTAAATTAAAAAAAAAAAAAAAAAAGTCAATAAAAACGGTGTTACTGATTTGAAAGTTTCATGTTTTAAAAATATTATATTTTTAAAAAATTTCTTTGCTGAGTATTTATGTTTCTTAACTAAATAATGTTATGTTTTTTATTAAAATGCTTAAGTATTATTTTTTAAAATAAAGCTTAAAGACCAGATTTGGACTAGATTTTAGAAGGAAAAACGTTTCATTTTATATAACTGTTACAAAATTGTGGCATATTGTGATGTATTGAGTAAAAAATAAATCCTTATTTGGTAAATAAATTACTTTTCAGACAGAGTAATAAGTAATTAGAAACAACTTCAATTATGTAATAAGAAATTCATTACTTTTTTAAAGCAATTTACCCAACACTGGTTGTTACTCCTATAAATTACAGAAGTGTGTGTAAAACAGTATTAAGCACTAAAAAGTGAATGACAACTTTATTTATCAGCACTGTGCACGTCGCCAGTAATTCAAAAACATGCAGTGTGTTTTTACATTTGCCCATTATTCACTAAAAGGTTTCACTGATATAATTTTTAGGTTCTTAGAAACATCAAGAATGTGTGTCGTCACCTTGTTGAGCCTGAATGTTTGGCAGGACGCTCTCGAGCAAGGTGAGAGATTTTCTGTGGTAATCCGCCTGCGCCTCTAATAACTGAGAACAGAGCAGACATTGACACACAGCAGAATGAACAATGGGCAAAATAAACATGGAACTGAACTGGGATAAACATAGCAACTGAGTTATTGAATCAGCGGATGACAAACAAAAGGCTTCTTACCATTACATAGTAGCGGGCATAGTCTGCCTCCTTTGAGAAGAAGTTGTACATATCTGCTGAAAGCTGATCCTGAAAAATAAAAAAAATTTAAAATTTTGGATTGCATTTGACTGTGCAGAGATTGAAATTGGACATTACAGGGAATACGCACTGTGGTAACCTCTTGACAAATTATGCTACATTATATTATGCAAAATTACATTATGCTTCTGGCAAATGCTTTTATCCAGATTGGCTTGTACTCAGCTATACGTTTTATCAGTAATGTGTTCTCTAGCATTCAAAGTGGTGATGTACAGGAGCACACACGCAGAGTCTTAACTGTTGTCAGGGGAAAAAAAGGCTTCTGTTGGAGTTATAACTTCTTTAGAATTTGAATACTGATTACACATCGAATTTTTGCAGTTAAAACAATCACCAAGTCATAAATCAGTCAGCATACCGTAACTCAACAGTTCGACTACAAGCCAGATGAATTTCGTGTTAAACTAAACTAATGTCTGGTCCGATTTGAGCTTGAGCTGGGAGATTTTTGTTTCTTAAATTGATAGTTCACTCACAAATCCTAATTCTGTCATTGTTTACTCACCCTGAACAGGATTGGAACAAGTCAAGGTTAAGTAAATGCTGATAGCATTTTTAATTTCGACAACACAAAATAGAAAAGGTAGTCATTGACTGGATGTCAATATCTTTCCATCCACCTAATTTTGTGCGCATTTATCCAGCATCTTCACATTGGCTTTATTCTTGACTAGTGTGGTTGAATGACATTTGTCCTGGAAGCACTGTACAAATGTGGTGGCGCTATTGACACTTGCTCAGGGTGCATATGCGATATCTAGTGTATATATCTGTTGAATGGGAAGAATCTAAGGCTAAAAGCATGGGTTTTATACTCAGCTTGGTGTAACAACACAGTGGGTCAGTAGTTTGCACTGTCGCCTCAAAGCAAGAAGGTTGCTGGTTCACCTCCTGGCTGGGCCAGTTGGCATTTCTGTGTGGAGTTTCTGCGTGGGTTTCCTGCGGGTGCTTCGGTTTTCCCCACAAGACCAAAAATATATGTTATAGGTGAACTGAATAAACTAAATTGGCCGTAGTGTATGTGTGTGAATGAGTGTGTATGGGTGTTTCCCAGTACTGGATAGCAGCTGGAAGGGCATCCACTGTGTAAAACATATGCTGGATAAGTTGGCGGTTCATTCTGCTGTGGAGACCCCTGTTGAATAAAGGAACTAAGCCAAGCCAATGAGGTTTGAGATGCTCCTTGCACCCCTGCCACCATTTTTTAAAATCCATAACTAAAGCGACTCATGAGAGTAAGGCATGTTTATGCTTGTCCATCCATCAGTACCTTACACAGCTCCATTTTGTTCATAGCTTCGTCAACTTCTTCTTTAAGCGAGTCTGCTTTGGCTGTCAGTGCTTGTGTGTTTGTTCCTGAGATTATTGACTTGGTCGCCTGCAACCACCTGTAAAGAGACCATTTTAGTTGTTAGGTGGGTAAAAAATCTAATACAATTTATAATAAAACCATATTTATTATATGGAGATATTATATTTATATATAATATGTGTAAAAGAAAAATTACCTTGCCCGGGCAGAATCATAGTCCAGAACCAGCTTGGCTAACTGCCGCCTCTGTTTCAGGATGTTAGGAATGTCAAACTGACAAAACAAGAAGATTATGATAGACATTGATATTAAAGATAAACATTAAAACATACTGATATAAACAAACTGGCTAACAACATTGTAATTGTACTATTAATAAGAGATGGAAAAAAAAAAGAAATGAAAAAAAAAAATGAAATACAGCATCTAAAATAAGACTTGGTGAGAATATTATTTTATCTGTTTTTACATTCATTTATTTATTATAGTTAAAGGGCCAGTTCACCCAAAAAATGTAAAGTCTGCCATCATTTACACAACCTCCTGTTCTTTCAGACCTGTTTGAGTTTCTCTCTTCTGTTCAACACGAATGAAGATATACAAACTGAAAAAAATAATAATATTGGGGGAAAAAACAGCCATTGACTTCTAAAGGATTTGTTGCTTCGACTATAGATGTCAATTTTTTAACAATCTTTAGTATCTTTTTTTTTTTAGTGGAAGAAAGAAATTCATAAAAGTTTAGAGTAAAAGGTGAGAAAATTATTTTTGGGTGAAGATTATCCCTTTAACGTTTATTATATTTTAAGCAATTCAAGTCACGTTTTTGGCAGCGCGGTGGCGCAGTGGGTGGTGCTGTTGGCTCACAGCAAGAAGGTTGCTGGCTCAAGCCTCAGCTGGGTCAGTTGGCATTTCTGTGTGGGGTTTGCATGTTCTCCCTGTGTTCGTGCAGGCTTCCTTCCGGTGCTCCGGTTTCCCCCAAAGTCCAAACATGTGCTATAGGTGAATTGGGTTATCTAAACTGTCCGTTGTTTATGTGTATTAATAAAAGTGTATAGGTGTTTCCCAGTGATAGATTGCAGCTGGAAGGGCATCCGCTGCGTAAAACATATGCTGGATAAGTTGGCGGTTCATTTCGCTTTGGCGACCCCTGATTAATAAAGGGACTAAGCCGAAAACGAAATGAATGAATGAAAAGTCATGTTCTCATGACCTGAAACAAGTAAAGACAAGCAAGCACACAGAGATTTGAATTTGTGCCACACGAGAAAGTATAAGCACACCTACTAAATGCAATTAGTCACAAGTGCTCTTTAAAAATGTTTAAAGCTTGATATTTTAAATAGATATATATTTATTTATAGAAAATGCTTCTGATTTCTGGTGTTTTTCCCCCTCTTATTCTGTCAAAAATACAGTTCAATTTAATATTGGACTCATTGGGACTAAAAGTGTTTTGGATAAATCTGATAATTTTACAATAGAAATTAATAATAGCACAATTTATCCCTCTCTGCGGGTCAAGAGCTTGTGTGTCAACTTGGATAGCTCACTCTCGTTAGAAGCGTTTCAATAATACTATGCGTACTGCATATTTCTAGCTGCACAATATCAGTCGTTTCCATCCTTCTCTCACAACCAATAACACAGCAATTCTCATCCATGCATTAGTTGCTTCACATCTAGACTACTGTAAAGCACTTCTCACCGAGCTTCCTTATAAACTTCGACATAAACTCCAACTGGTTCTGAACCATGCAGCTCATGTCATCTCTAGGACTTCATCTCATAAGCATGTCACACCACTTCTCTTTCAGCTTCACTGGCTTCCGGTGAAGTTTCATATTGATTTTAAACTGCTACTTCTCACTTTCAAGGCACTTCATACTCTTGCTACTCAATATCTCACTGAACTTCTCCATATTTGTACCCCTTCTTGCACTCTTAGATCAGCAATCTCTTTTTTTCCTGATGCCAGTTTGCACTCGATTAGACACAATAGGAGCCAGATCTTTTATCTCCACAGCTCCTCGGCTATGAAACTAGCTTCCCCTCCACCTAAGGAGCAATGGAAGTCTTTACACTTTTAAATGTCATCTCAAGATCCTTTTAAGCAGGCTTTCTTTTGACTATGCTTTTTCTTGTTATTTTATACTCACGATGCGTTTGTACCTGCAACCCCTTACATGTATTTTACACTTTGTTTGGCAACGTTTTATTAATTGTTGTAATTTGTTCTGGTATGGCTGTTGATGCTTATATTAAGGCGACCTTAGGTGTCCAGAAAGGCGCTATTTACAAACAAAATTAAATTATTATTATTAATAGATTTGTTGTTGATACATAACTGGAAGATAACGTCTGTGTAATGAAGTTTGATGGGCTCCTGGCCATCGGGAAAATGGAGGGGGAGAATGGAAGAACTTTAAATAATTGCATTACATAAATAAACATAAAACAAATGGGTGGAGGCAGTCCCCTGTGGCCACAAAACTGAAAGCAAACACAACAAGTGTCCAGGCCTTATCCTCTCTCATCTTCCTCTGTCGTCACTCCTCCTTTTATGCTTGTGCTCCTCTGTGAGACTTAAAACCGGTGCGTGAACAGGTGATCCTCATTAACAAGTACAACTGGCCTCACTCCATTCTCACGGCTGTCAGCCACACCCCCCTTGTGACAGTCTGTATGTTGATTTATGATTGAAAATTTATTGTTGATTAAAACTTATGTGTATGTGTGTGTGTTTCTCTTTACAAGGCCATTTGAGGACATTTAGCCCAGCATGTTTAGTAAGTTTTGTCACAAAATATACATCATAAAAGCATTTGTTTGTAATGTTTAGGTTCAGCCTTAAAATTACACTGTAAACACTAATTGTGCTTGGTCAGAATTTATGTCCGGATTAAAGTTCACCAAATTAGAACTGAACTGAACTACCCTTAAGGGAGCATGTCCAGTTTCCAATTACCATGTTTTCTTTAAAGGACGACAGTGTAGGCAGGTACTAAGGATGGATTTTTTTTTTTTTTACTCTCCGTTTTTTTTTTTTTTTTAATTAAAAAAATTTTTTTTTTAGAAGTCTCACAGTTGAGTGTTTTTAGAAAAGTGCTAGCAATTCCCCAGTGTAATAAAACACATTGGTTGACTAATAGTGTTAAAAGTGTAAGATCATGGCCAAATATGTAAATATAAACACTAGGGATGCACCAAAATAAAAATTCCAGGCCAAAAACAAAGCCAAATTTCTGGATACATTGGCCTACAGTAAAAAATTCTATGTTATAAATAGATATTATTTCATTTTTAACTTTTTTACATTTAAAAACACAAGCCGATAAAACAAGCACATTTTATTGACAGTAAAATTTAATTGTCAGTGAACGAGTCGAGAGGCGTCTTTATACCAGCATTAGCCGCTTTCACACAATGATACTGGTAAATCTCCGAAAAATATCTGGAACGACTTTATTTGTTAATTCAAAAAAGCGCTGTTCACACAGGCACGGTCGTTTAGGAATTTTTCCGGAAAAGACCATTCACACATCCATTTCAAAATACCAGTAAATTCTGACATCATTAACCAGAAATGAGCTCTAAATGACTGTGCTTGTATTTGTAAACATAAAAGGGTTTGTGTAGAAGGGATCCTGTGATTTCACTTTTATTTAAAGCTTTATCATTTATGCAGCTGCTTTGTGAGACATCCAAAAGCAGAAACACAAACTGCAGCTAAATGTTTACACACTTGATTACATTACAAATTCTGTGGATTGGTAAGTGAACAACTTATATGAAAAGATATGGAGGAACATTTTCAAATGTCAAAATGTTTGTAATATATGCGTGTGTGCTGGCACTCACCGGCTGCTTCATGTGCACATGTGTTAAATAACTGAAGCAGAGCTTGAAGGTACACAAACAGAGCTATGTGTAAATGTGTCTGGAAAAATATACAAAGGCTTTTATTTTCATAAACCAAGTGGATGTGAATGTGTCTGATGTTCTGATTGGCTAAAGTAGCTGTCTCACATCAGCACGTTCTAGACATGAACATGCTCTTTTCGGCAATCTTCCCTCTGCGTTCACACAGCGCAGCATTCCGGCAAATTACCAGTAATGTTACAACTTCTCTTTCTTGAAAATTGCCAAAACGAATTTACCGGGATTTTCAAAAAGAATCGCCAGTAGTTTTCCGGAGAGGTCTGTATGTGTGAAATTAGCAAATGTCATGATAGCGGAGCAGTGCTATTGTAAGCAGCAGAAACAAGTATACCACATAGAAATGTCCTGTCAGTGAGTTATTTAGCCCGCACTCACATCACATTACACGATTACGTCATCGATGATGCACTGTTCAGTAGAGAAGAGCTCTCGCCCAGCACAGTGGAGATTTCTCTTGTAATAATGTTTTAGTTGTTTGAAATGCGGTGGCACACAGTCAAATATTTCGGGCCATCGGGGGAGACGGGAGGGGGGACAAGCGTGTTTTGGCCCGATTCAAAGCAACTGTACATAGTGTGAGTACGGTCTTAAACAACAAACAACAAACAAACCACCAACAAACAAACCACCCTTGAGTGGCACAAGCCATTGAATTAATGGCTTATTTTTCTCTTTTGTCTGAATTTTGAAAATGTCATTTTCAGATGACAACTTCTGGCAGCTGTAAATTTAGTGGCTGCCTAATAAAAATTGGGGAAATGTGCTAGCATAATCCATAAAGGACAGTGTGTACCTCTGCTAGCTGATTAAGGGGGTCTAAGATTTCCTTCTCGATGTTCATCTCATGCTGCATCAGCTCTGAGGCCAGTCTGTTCTCCGCATCTCCACACATCTCCATCATCTTCCTGCACAGAAGATACCAAAATACTCTAGTTTCTTAAAACAAGGCTTAAACCATTTTTTAATCTTACTTAGAAAAACATCTCTCTCTGTGTATACATTTTAATATGAAAATTATTCCTGTGACGACAGAGCAAAACCTTCAGTCATTATGACAGTCTCACAAAGTCCTTCAGAAATCACTCTAATATTATGACTTGTTGCGTATGGATAGTTTCTTCTATTAAGTTACAACTTCAGATATATCTGGTTTTCCACAAAAAAATTTGATCACTCAAATAATTTCAGGTATTTTTTCTGTCTTGTGGACTATATGAAAACAACTTTTATTAAAATACCTTGCTCAGAACAGTAATAAACAAAAATAAATAAATAAATAAACTAATTAATAAATTAATTAATAATTTACAAGCATTTTGTCTTATCTCATGATCGCATGACAATTAATAACATTTAATCTTGTAATATTATAAATGTTTTATCCACTTTACAACAATTTAATGATCAAGCTAGGCAACTTTTTTGAGTCATCATCTCATATTAATAATACAAAGAGCTAATCAATTTCCGATTTAACAACAAAGAAGCAGACTTAATTGTAAATCGATGATGATGTCATGCCATTTTACCCAATCAGAGACTCCTCCCCCAGCTGGTTCCCACCGTCCTGCATGGCCTGTGACAGCGCTGTCAGTGGAAGCTTTTTCTGTGACAGAAACACACTGAGTTTGTGCAACAATACATCCAAAATATGCAATGATGACTGACATTTTGTGCAGCCATAAGCACCGGTAATGCCCTTACATGTCTCTTCTCAGCATCAGTGCCAATCTGCCCCTGCAAACACACAGCCATTTTTTTGTGCGTGTTGTGCGAAACGACCCGCACCAACTCCATACGGCGTTCAATCTGTGCAGAAAAAAAACCTAAATGTCAATAACGGCCCACAATCCATATTGAGCCATGACTCTCACTCAGTGCAAAGTCTGTATGCATTGTATTGGAAGTAAACAGCCTGTTAATTAAGTGCCTAGGACAAGTTATGTAACAAAGCATGTGTTTTTCTGTGACATGAAACGCATTTCATAAATTCAGCAGGTTTTACTCATAGCCATCAGAAAGCCTTTGGCAACAGCTACACTAATACACTCTTCAGCTTGTCAGGAGATTTTAAAGTAGTTTTATGTAGGCTTTACATTTAGCATGTTATGCTAAAACACGTTAGCTATGTGCTAAAACAAGGTAGAAATATGCTAAAAACATATCGTCATTTCATAAATGTGTTAAAACATGCTTGAAATGTGCTAAATATTAATGAAGTATCAATGTAAACATTCTCAAGCCAACATTAACAATTCAACTCAACAAAGCTACAATTTACATAAGCAAACTACAACATTTTAAGCATTTCCAACTTAAAATTGAACAGGAATCTTGGGAAATAGTGAAATAGTTCATTTATTTTAATATTAATCATTGTTAAAAAAATTAAAGATGTAGCAACCAGGTTTTTTTTGCCACATTGATTAACATTTATTGTATATAAAGTTTTACTACAACTATGTTTACTACAACTACTGTGTATTGTAACAAAATCTGTTCATTTGTAGTTGGTTTATCTACAATAATCTTGGGCTCTGCCTAATTCTTACGAGAGTATTTTAAATTGGACATGCTTTAAACGTATCCAGTATAATGTAGCCTTAGACTAGATATTTAACTCTCATTGATCATCACAGTCTGAGTACTTGTTAATTATCTGGTGTTGCTGATAGCATGGATATAAAACAACTTTTGATAGTCTTGAGGGTGGGGTAAGGTCAAGAATGACACCACTCCCTAGAGAGGCATGAAAAAGACATGGTATGCTACAGAATAAAGACAAGTATGATTCATCTGCCCCATTGGGATGTCTGAGTTCAATGTTAGGATGTCATAAATAGAAAAGGCACATGCAGATGTTTTTGTGGCTCATTTTTTATATATAAAAAGTGTGTGCCTGTGCAAAATAATGAGTAAGAAATGTAAAGAAAAAATGTACAATAAAATTTTTATTTATTTATTATGAAATAATTATCAAATATATAGTGTTACTAAATAATGTTTTTGAATAATGTGACACTTAAATATTATTACACAATAAATTATATATAATTTCTACACATTTAAAATATATATATATATATATATATATATATATATATATATATATATATATATATATATATATATATATATATATATATATATATATTTGTATTAAAATATGAGTAAACAACTACAACACCTTCAAGTAATGACTACAAAACTACAAGCTCTGATAGTAATGCTGCATACAGTATAAAAACACAACAGATTATATAAAACAACTGATTAGTTATTGATAGGCCCACACAGAATCTGCACTTGCAGAAATCTGTAGATTTCCACGGATTTTTTTTGCCCACCATACAGTCTATGTATTTACTTGTGTAAATGTGTGTAAATTTATGTTCATTTAGTTTTTAAATTAATTTCACTAATATTATTGTGATATAAAAATATTAATATTAAAATGTTTATATAATTTATTTACAAAACAGTTTGTAAAGTGATATTTACTCTCTTTCAGAGATGTAGAGATATTATATGAGACTTGCTTTGTTTACCAAATAAGTGTATCTAATTGGATTTGCATTGTAAAAGTAATAAATAAAAGTTAAAAAGGTATTATTTGCTGATTTCATGTATTAAGTTTTTAGTTATGATATGAATTAAAATGATAATTAAACAAAAATCTGTCAGCAGTGAAACCTTTTCGGCTTAGTCCCTTTAATAATCAGGGGTCGCCACAGCGAAATGAACCGCCAACTTATCCAGCACATGTTTTATGCAGCAGACGCCCTTCCAGCCAGCAGCGGAATATATTTAGTAAATATTAAAAAATAAATAAACATAATTCAGCCTAATCTGGCTGTCTGCTCCTCCACCAGTGATTGAAACACTTCTGTTTGTGCCCGTTAGACTTGAATTGATACTAATTATCGATGAAAAGTTTTAACATTTATCATTTGATAAACTATATAATAATATATAACTCCAGCAGATGAGACAAATGTGAAATAGTCAGGGTTCAATGTTCTGCTGTTTATTTGCCTGATATCAGCATTCTTGTGTATTATTTAGTCTACATTTTTTTGCTCATAGTTAAAGGGACAGTTCACACAAAAATGAAAAATGAGTATGAGTTTTTCTGTCCTGTTGAAAAAAAAAGAAAATACTTTGAAGAATGTTGGAAAATGGTGTTCATCATTCTTCAAACCATCTTCGTTTAAGTTCAATGTTAAAACAATAACACAAACAGTAACTCTACATTTGTCTTGCTTACAATTAAAGAGACAGTTCACATAAAAATGAAAATGGTCATTGTCTCCACTTGTTCCTAATTAGTTTGAGTTTCTCTGTTCTATTGAAAAAAAGGAAGATATTTAGAAGAATGTTGGAAAATGGAGTTTATCATTCTTCAAACTATCTATCTTATATTCAACATTAACAACAACCAAAACAGCAACTCGCACATAACCGGGTGAGTAAACGATGAGTAACTTTTCTGTTTTTCTCTTCTACAGTGGAAAAAAAGCGAGTGTCATCTTGTAGGTTTTGTCAGACTTTCACTGACTTTAAAAACTAACGTCATGACAGCTTTTTTGATGCAAGAAGGTTGGGCCTGTTTGAACACATGTCAGCTCTAAAAACAAGCATGAGAAGAATGTCACTTCAGAACTGTGAGAGCGGTTTGACTGAACAAACAGGAGGAGAAACAGATCCCAATGAGCAAAAAAAAAAAAGTGAGTCATGTTCCAAAAACAGCCCAGTTTAGGAATTCCACAGGCCGGGAGAGGAGATAACCACCTCCTCACACTTCTCTGCGTCCTTTACGTCATAACATTCCCTCACAGGCCTTCCTAATGCAGCTGGGTCAAGCGTACATTCCTCTCAGGCGTCTCTGACACCTGGCACGAAAACAAGGGGAATCACTGACTGTTATTGTCCTGCTTTTTCTGCTGAGGGAGATCCTGTTCCAGAAGAGCTGTTTGGATTCTGTGGTGTGAGAGGTCTTTACATGTTTGCCTGTTGCCAACAGAGACTAAAAACTGACGAGTAGACTAAACAATGAGCTGTTTTAGGGAAAGGTGGGGTGGATGGGTGGATTGAACATATTATGCTATGTACGGAAAAATGGGGAAACACCACTATAAATTCGGATTAGTCATTGGAAGTCCCACATGGAAACTGCAATCATTTTTGCTGATGGTTAAGATATTTACTTGTGTACATTTATATAAATATATATTAAATTTAGTTTTTTTTAAATATATGTTTTACTTCAGTTATATAAATATTCTTTAAAAAATATAGAAAAAAAATTACTTGGTAGTTAATAGTGCTGCGCAAATATTAATCGTGATTAATCTTGTCCAAATTAAAAGTTTGCTTTGACAGAATATGTGTGTGTATTATATATTTATTGTTTATGTGATACACACAAATACATACAAACAAATATATTTTGTCACATATTAAATAATAGATATTTAAATTTAAATATAATTTATATATACACATATATTTTATATCTAAATATAAATAAACATTTTCTCAAAAATACACATACATGTGTGTGTTTATATATATATATACATAATTAATATAAACAGTACACACACACTTAAATTATGTCAGAGCAAGCTTTTATTTTGGATACAAATAATCACAATTCATTTTTGCCCAACCCTAGTTTTTATATTACACATTTTTAAATATCTTAAATTTTTAGATTATCTTTGTACAATACAATTGGCAAAGTCATATTTCCAGTTTTTTGTGTATTCTATGAAAGTTGCTGTACCTTTGTTGATCAAACAACTGAATGAGGGTGAGTTTGAACTATACCACTGAACTCAAAACACAGACGCAGAGTAACCTAGAATCCTCATCGCAAAATGTTGTTGGAAATGGTATTGCAGGGCAACACAGACAAAACAAGACATACAAATGTTCATAAGGGCATCAGCTAGGGCTGCACGATTGTGGAAAAATCGAAAATTAAATGTTTTAATTCTGTGATATATGTTGCGATATGAATACAATTTCACTAGATGAGTTGAATAACTATTTGGAAATAATATATAATTTTAGATTGAATGGGAAGAATCTTTAGGGGAGCGCATCCGCATAAAATATAGGAAACAATCATCCCGCTTGCATCCAGGAATCCGAATCATCAAGAGATTCATTTAAACTTCACTTCACTCCTTCACTTATTTCACTCCATGCAAACTTTATAGCATGAAGCTTAAACCTGATCCTAAATCCTAAACTCTCTGTATACAGGTGAAACTGTTACATTCTTTCACATGATTTGGGACTGTCCTAGGCTTGGTTATTTTTGGAATATGGTTAAACAAAATTTGTCTTCAATACTTTTCAAAACGTTTCAGTCCCTCTTGCCCCCTCTGTTTTCATTTTAGCTGATTTTTCTGATATCCAGCTTAACAAAATTCAGAAGCGAGTGTTTTTATCTGGCTTGATAGCAGCCAAAAAATAGTTGCAACAAGTTGGAAGCCTCCACATTCTCTTAATCACCATCACTGGATCTAACTTTTCTTGATATTGCGTATCTGGAAATATCCACTGCTCGCATCCATGGTGCAAAAGAGGACACAATCAGACAAACTTAAAGGTTTACTAATTTGAATTAAGGAAACATCAAAAAGCAGAAATTTCTGGTTCCAGGCCCCATCATTTTTTTAAAAATTATTATTTAGTTATTTATTTTTAATTAACTTATTTATTTTCCCTCTTTATTACTTTTATCTGTTTTTTTTTCTTCTTTATAGTAATTTAAGTTTTCCTGTTTGAGCTTCTAA